AACTGCAAGAAGAATGTGCTTGTGATTTGGAGATATATATATATTGATTTATGTAATTTGGAATAATATAGTAACTCTAGATCTTTTTAATATTCAAACTAGTGCAGTTCTTTGAATCTTACTAAAATCTGTGGCTTTAGACATTGTGCTACACTCAGTTTGACATACTTCTGATTTGAAGGGAAAAATAATAATAAAATAATCATTATTATTTTTTAGGGTTTCAGCTCACATGAGATGAAAGCTTGGAGACAGCACTGGAATCATCAACTTTACAAAGCTCTGGAGCATCAATATCAAATGGGCTTGGAAGCACTCAATGAAAATTTGCCAGAAATAAATATTGATCTAACATTCAAGTAAGCTTTTTTCTTCCTGTTAAAAGTTTTCTGGCTCAAGTTGCATTCAAATACTAGCTTTGTGTGATTTGTTTCACTTTTTAGGCAAGGCCGGTTACAGTTCAGACCTCCATTTGAAGAAGTACGAGCCAGATATTACAGAGAAATGAAGAGATTCATCTCCATTCCAAATCAGTTTAGGGGAGTGAGTGAGACAGAAGATGAGGCCATCTTCACTGTTATGACTGAAAGAAATGCCAGTGGATTTCTGACTGCTTTCAGTAAGGCAGAAGATTTGTTCAGAAGATTGGCAGAAGTTTCTGATCAATTTCAGGTATTTTCAATGTTTGACTGATTCATTTTTTTCTTTCAGATATGATTTTTTTTTCCATCTGAATCATTAATGAGTAACTGAGCAATGACATTTGAGCCTTACGGTGCTATTCTTCAAGGCATATAAGCTTAATAAATCCATCCACATTAATACAAGGACTTAAGCACAAGTCTAGGCTGAAGCATATGTACAGTTTATACTGAAATCTCTGTATTCTAGAAGATTTTTCATCCTTGTTCAAAATTTGTTTTGATCATCCTTAGAAGTAGAGTTATATCAGGCTGTTCTGCACTTCCTGATTTTTGCATTAATAGAATCTGTCATTGAATTAACAAATTATAGTGAATGTAGCTTGAGATCATTATTAAAAGCATTTAAATATTTTTGAGAAGCAGTTCTTTTTAATCTGTCAAATATTTATTTTCCATAAAATCGAAAATAATGTTGAAAAGGAATGGATTGTAATTGGCCAAGTAGATATGGAAACTCTGGTGAAGAAACACCTTTTGAGCAAACAGGACTGGGAAAAAAACTTCAAAGCATTAAAAGTTAGAGGAAAAGAAGCAGAACGTCTTCCAAGGTATAGTGTTAAATCCATTCATATGTTTGAATAATGAATTCTATTAAATGTTTTAAAGAAAATAGTAAACTCAAAATATAGTAGGTCTTTACTGTGAAGGAATTTGTGAAGGAATTCAGTATATTGCACAATTAGAGTTATCAAGTGAAACTTGTGGGATTCGTGTTCAGAATCAATAAAAAGAAATTATATTTCATGCAGAAAAAAAGAATGTGTGAAACTTGTTAGCTAAATTATGTTCAAGGACAGACTGAGTGGTATATGTTCCATAAAAAATAAGCATCTTTCAAAGTATTTGGAGGATCAGAACCTGAGACTCCCTATAAAATTGCATATATATTGTAAATTTTTCAGTAATTGGATTACACAATTATTTGCCCAATGAACTAAGACTGCTATTTGTAGATTTATAAGGGCAAGATTTTTATTTGGCTACAAAGTTGTGATGACTTTATTAGAGGTGTTCTGAGACTACGTGCATGTATAGATTTTAGAGATAGTGAGATATATGTTGCACATATACAGCATTACACATATATAGATATATTTCTCTTGTTTTTTATTTTGTCTTGAAGCACCATCAAGATTGATTGTTTAATAGTTAATTGCAATCCTGTGAAAACTGTAATTGATGATTTTATCCAGAAGTTGTATGATGTTCTTGTCATTTCTTTGAGAAAATCTATACAAGGTAAATAGCTTTCATGGATAGCATTCTTTGCTGTTGTTGTATTTGTGGATGTTTATGTATTTTTTTAAACAGAGTTTTTTAATCAAATATTTTACCCTTGGAAGTAGTGAATTATAAAAATCATAGTAGAGAGAAAGTAATCTGATGCTAGTTTATCACTGACATAAACCCTTTTGATGTCCATGCACATTGCTTATTTTGACCATATGTACTGCAGATATAATAGAATAAATGTGAACATCCCTTTGCTTGTTTCTTTTGTTTTGAAGAAAGTTTCTTAAACGTTTGAGGATAATTGAATGAGATAATTAAATGTTGCAGTTGAAAGGCATTAGCTTTTTTCCTCATTATAAATTGAAATACTTTACTAGGATTTTTGCAGATTTATTCCATAGATTTACTTGTGACTTTCAAAAGGCAGAGGATTAAAAAAAGGCAAAATATTTCTCCATTCCTGGTTGGTCTCTGTCCATCTGGGATGGACAGAGAATGGAATGGTAAGGCCAAAGTTTTGTTCTTTAACTGTTATGGTCCCAACAGCAAACTCAATACAGGAGTTGTGCAGCAAGTGGGTTATTTCCAAAGCCTGGAGAATGAATTATTCTTTTTAAATTGTACAGTTCTTTGCTCAGTACTATGTGGAAAAGGGAGATTTGCCTTGTTAGGAAAATGTAATATTACAGCTTCATCAAGCTTTCCCTTGTGATTTTGTTTTTACTATTGAAAGTGAGGTGACTTTGTATGTTTATTTATTTTTTTTTAAGTTTTAATATCTGTTTTTCTCTACTTATCTGAAGCTGACTTATAACAATTTTGAAAGTGTACTTCTTTAGTGCTTTATGGTTGACTCTTAGAAGTGGCGTTAGTACTTTCATAAACTGAAAGCAGTGGGTTGCATTTAAATTTCAACGCTTAAACCCACACATACAATCTATGTTTGAGCAGCATAAAAAGATTGCATCTTCATTTTTTAAGCAAATATCTTTTGTATAATACCCTATTTTGACCCTATTTTGTATCACAGTACATTTATCTTACTTTGAACTGTATTATTATAGATATTTTCTCTCCAATACTCTGTTTTCCTATTTTCTTTACAAAGCACACCTGCATGATATTTCTTCATTTCTTACTGATGCCATGGAAACGTTAGTAGTTAGGCCCCAGACTATAGAAGAAATACAAGAAGACAATTTAAAATATGCGCACCTACTTGAAGGAAAAGAAGAGGTAAGATACTATTTTATCATATCCAGAAGAACAGCTTTCAAAAATATTTTTGTTTTCTAGTATGGAAAATTATGTTTAGTATCATTAGTTTAGAACATACCATAGCTATCAGGCTGCCGTGTAGCAAAATATTTCTTCCTCCAAGTGACTTCCTAGGAAAGAATATAAAGTCAGAGTAGCATATATGATCCTACTCCCATGGCAGTCTTCTAGCTTCCATCCATTTTCATCCCAGGACTATTTTGAGCTGTATATCGTTTCTGTATTTATAATAACCCCTCAAGTGTGTTTATCTTCCACAAGCTTATCTATTCTGCTCTTGAAAGCAAATATATATTTAAGATTCAAAATATCCTTTTGGTCAATAACCCATTACTTCAAGAACCCTTTATTCTTTCTTTTCACTTACCATCTCCTAGTTTCATACCCTTTATGTCCTACGTCAGAAGAGATATGGAACAATTAATTATTCCTTTCTTCATTTTCATGACACAGATGAATGTATTGTTCTCTGCTATATCCTGCATTATTCATCTATTTTCTAGATTGAAGAATTTTAGTTTATCTAATCTTTCCTTATACATAAGCCTACCCATTGCTTTCATCATGCTTGTTGCCACTGGTAGGTCTCTCCTAATTTTTTAGTAATTGCTTTTTGTGTGTGTGGGGCAGAGCTTTGCATGGTTTTTAAGATGCGGGTAAGCCATTCATTTACATGGTGACATAACAATGTAATCTCTTTTATTCTTTTTTTCATTCCTTAATAATTCCTAAAATTTGATTTAGTTCCAACTACTCAGATTAAGCTGGCATAAATCTGGCTACTGCACCTCAAAGATATCAATCCTGAACTGCAATTATTAGTTTAGAATTCAACATTTTGCATGTGAAGTTGGATTTTTTTTTTCATACGTACCACCTCATGGTTATCTGCTTGAATTTTACTTGCTATTGTCAGTCACTGCTTCTTCTAAATTCTTTCTGCGGCTTTTCACAGGTGGATAGTTTAATGTTTTGAATAAAAAATTCTTGCTCGTATATATTTGTGTATATTACTCACTCACTTGAAGTGTCTCTGCTCCTGCTTTCTGTGATTCCATATATAGGTATATGGATAGCAGACTTTCTGTTGTCCTGATATTGCTTCTGGATCTGGCTGTCTGGAATTCTGCAATATATAAGAATTTGCTTAATTCATAGTAAACTTTCATTTCTGTATATCTTATTTCAGGCTTAGGGTTTAGAATTTCTCTGAATTGTCTTGGATATTATTTCTTGCAATATTTTACTGTTATTAGGTAAACAATATTAAAAAAAGGCAGCTGCATACATGAATGATTTATGATTCTTCTGAATTTATTTAAGTAGTTTCATTATTTTTTACGTATACATGCACATTTTTTTTTATCTTTTTCAATTTAGATTTTTACCCAGTTTCAAGAGGCTGAAGATAAAAACAAACTACTGCGAACTGTGGCTGGTACAGGTTTGGACTCCATCAGTAACCTAAGAGCTACCTGGGATAAATTTGAATTAATGATGGAAAGCCATCAGCTTATGATTACAGAGCAGGTAACAATGAAAGATTAATACTTTACCTATGTTGATATGAGTTTGGGCAAGTCTGGAGAAACATTTTTCCTGGATGAAATAAAATCCATGAATGTTCTCAGGTCAGTGTTAACAGCAACGTTAAGGACATGAGATAGAGCCTTAAAAGTAAGAATACTTGAACTTTTAAATGGTTGCTACACTTGTGCAAGAAGTGAAAAGAATGTGGGTACTTTGTTTTTATTGGTTGCTAATTGTAGTTACAAACTAAAAGCTAGAAAATAATGCTTTTCTAACTCTTGCTTCACAGATTGAAATGATGAAAGGAAATGTGATGTCACGTATTAATATATATCTCCAAAATCTGGAGAAGTTTAAAGCTCGTTGGGATCAGTTAAAGCCAAGCGATGATGTCATTGAAACAGGTCATCAGGATGTGCTTGAGAAAAGTGCTCAGACCATAAAGGAAAAAAAAAAGGAATTTGATGAACTTGAAGTCATGAAGGGAAAACTCATGTATGTTTGTTTCTCTCTATGTACTGCTTATAAAAAGGTGCAGATCTTCTACAGTAATAATATCTTAGAAAAAGTTGATTGAATTTTAAATCCAATGATTTCATGATTTCCATTTCCTTTGTATTACAGGTTTTTCATTGTTCTTTAAGCTTTTCTTTTCCTCATGTTATATAACATAACATTTTGGAATTTTTAAATTTTGTGGAGTGAAACATTTTTGAAGTCTTTTGGACTGTGAAATAGGGATATCTCCCCTAAAGGCTTGATTCTGATTTCTGAAATTCTCACTCTAAGAAAAGGTTCAAGATATTGCTCCAAGAATGGGGAACTATGGCTTCAACTGAGTGGGCCAGCTGAAGTGGGCTCACTTTCCCATTTCTTCAACAAGTTGAGCAGACTATTTTGCAGACTACGCAGCAGACTATTTTGCAAACAGGAAGGGTTTTTCCTCTGGGTGCCCAGAGAAGGTCACTTTGTAGTGTTGTAGTGCAGTTGTCCTTTGTATTTCTGTAATATTACTGCCAATTTCAGTTAGCAGCAGTATTTCTTAGAGAAGCCAATGACTTTACTTAAATGAGTATAATTATTTCTATGTACTAGTGTCTCTTAGATTGTAAAGATCCTAAGTGTGACGTAATGATATAATGTATCATGCAATAATCTCTTTTTTTTTCAGTGAAGAGTGCCATCATTTTAAACTGGAAGAACCGGACTTCTCTTTGGCAACAGTTGTATGTCAGGATATTAAGAGTTGTGCAGAAATTTGGGCATTGTATGAAGAATTTTTTCAAGGTTTTCAGGAAAAAGCCAAAGAAGACTGGATTACTTTTAGGTGCAGTTTTCTTACTGTATCTCTCATGGGCATGTACATATGATTATGGTATTGGTTTATAATGACCTTTTCTTCACATATACATGTGGTTATAGTCCTGTTTTATTATGATTTATTACGATTTATTATATTTGTATTTTCTTTGATTTTCATTCAGGAGTAAAACATATCTCTTTGAAGAGTTTTTGTTTAACTGGCATGACAAAATGAGGAAGATAGAAGAACATACTGTAATGACAGTAAAGTTACAAAAAGAAGTAGACAAATACAAGGTAAGTTCCTAATTATGAAAAGGGATATAAAATCAAAAAAATTTGGCATTTTGCGGTATTATTCTTTATTGTGTAAATTTATACATAGCTTAGTTCATAAAGTTACTTAAAGTTTAATAAATATCTCTTGATACTGTTGTGAACATTGTGTTTATCTTTTGAAGAGTCCTTTTGTTCTTTACAGTAGACAAGGGAGTCATTAAAATTTTCCTGGACAAACATTCAGCAATTAGTTTTCTTCAGAATTTAATCTTAAACATTAAAATGAGGAAAAGAGAAAATGCACCTTGATTTGTAAATGTTATTATTATTATTACTATTTTTTAAATTTTGATTACAGGTAACTGTATCAATAGGTATCAAGATTGTGATGCACTTTTTTTTTTCCCCTATAGATGGTAATTCCTTTCCTAAAATATGTCAGAGGAGAACATCTTTCACCAGACCATTGGCTGGATCTTTTTCGTATTCTGGGTTTTCCCCGAGGTACTACACTTGAGGGTTTGTTATTTGGAGATCTGCTTAAAGTCACTGATGCCATTATAGAAAAAGCAACAGAACTTAAGGTATGAATTATGACAGTAAAGTTGCTCTGTTTTTGTTATATGTGATATATAGTCTTTTGGTAAATGCAATCATGCTTTTCCATATTGTATAAATTTTTGTGCACATATTTATATTCTTATTATAGAAGTAAAGAATGGAAAATTTATTGTGAGCTCTGTAATTTAGAACAAAACATATTTATACTTTCAAATAGGATTTGAATTGTCGAGCACAAGGTGAAGTCACAATCAGAGAAGCATTACGTGAGCTTGAGCTATGGGGAGCTGGAGCTATTTTTACATTAACAGATTATGAAGACAGCCAAAGGAAGACTATCAGGCTTATTAAAGACTGGAAAGACATAGTCAATCAGGTTGGAGATCATCGTTGTCTTCTACAGTCCCTCAAGGACTCCCCTTACTACAAAGGTTTTGAAGATAAAGTGTCCATCTGGGAAAAAAAATTGGCCGAGTTGGATGAATATTTGCAGAATTTAAACCAAATTCAAAGGAAATGGGTCTATTTGGAACCTATATTTGGTCGTGGAGCTCTACCCAAAGAGCAGGCTCGTTTTAACAGAGTTGATGACGACTTTAGGTTAGTATGGAATATAACTTATTTTTTATAATATTTTTGGCATACTTATGGGCCAAAACATTGTTCATAGTGAACTAACATAATTGTAATTATGTATTGTAATTGTAATTGTGTGCAATTGTAATACATATAAAGATGAAAATCAGTAAGAGGAATTCAGTAAACATAGGTGAGTGATAGTGAAAGGGCGGTTTTCTATACATGGTAGATAATGGTACATTTCACATAATGGGTCGATTTCATGTATTGTGAAGAAGGGAATATTCTGAATCACATGAAATGTCAAAGATTATGAACAAGGCAGGCAGAAGATGCATTTTGTTAACAGAGGTAATGTAACTGTTTTTCAATAATCACTTCTTGCTCAAGACCAGCGCTCTTTTTCTTAAGAAATTACATAACTGGAATTTTAAATTTATTTATTCAAAACAAATCATGCAGATAAAAAAGAGAGGGGAGATTTTAGGGTTGTAGAAATACATATACGATTGCCTGTCTTGATTTGAATTGATTTGACTTGTTGAAAGGGAGTAAAGGTCAAGAATTCATTTTTCTTGTTTTTGCATAGAGGTAGCAAGAAAGAGTCATTACTGGACATGTTTGATGTAAATTTTGAAAAGTTTCAGCATTGATAGTAAAAATTCAAAGTTATATATCATATATATATATTTATACATATATATGAAAAATATCTTTATGCCTTGTCTGTGTTTTAATTTTGTTTAGACGATTACATATATAACATCCAGACTAAATCAGCAATGGTAGGTTTATAAACTATTCCTTTTGTTTTTCTATCAAGATCAATTATGTCTGATATCAAGAGGGATAATAGGATAACATCACTGAATGCCCGGAGAGGATTAAGAAATACCTTAATTACGATACTTGACCAGCTTCAGAGATGTCAAAGATCTTTGAATGAATTTTTGGAGGTACAGCTGACATTAATCTGGGTTTCTATAAAAGTAACTGCATTTACATTTCAGTTAACAAAAGTGATATCCTTTGTTTGTTACAGGAAAAACGCTCAGCATTCCCTAGATTCTATTTCATTGGAGATGATGATTTATTGGAAATCTTAGGACAGTCCATGAATCCGATGGTCATCCAGTCTCACCTCAAGAAACTTTTTGCTGGTAATGCAATTTGTCTTCTTTGTGAAATATACTTATTTAGAAATATTTTTCTTCTAAGTAAAGTAATCTTCTGTGGATTTTTTTCCTCTCTTACTGCTATCAAACATTGTTTAAGACTTAAGACAACAAAAAAATCTTCATTGTCATTTTTGGATTAATAGGTATTAATAGTGTGAGCTTTGATGAAGAATTTAAATATATAACTGCCATGAAGTCAGTAGAAGGAGAAACTGTGCTACTTAAAAACAAAATTCTTCTGTCAAATGATGTGGAGGTAAGAAAATCATATCCCAAGATTGTTTAAGAATCTTTGAGAATTAAATTTTAATGTAACTTTTGATTTTCTTTTTTTGATGTTTTTGCTAGGTGTGGCTAAGCAGTTTGGCTTTGGAGATGAAGGAGACCCTGAAAGAATTGTTACTTGATTGCATTACTGCTGGAAAAAAAACACAAGGTTCAATTGATCCATCTCTCTATCCTTCTCAGGTAGTAGATGATCCAGTATGATTACTGTGTAGTCTTAGATTTACCAAATAAGTTAATTTTTGAAGAATTCTAGAAATTGGGTAGGCGTTTCCGGTTCTGGGCTCCCCAGTACTAGACAGACATGCAGATACTGGAGCAAGTCCAGTGAAGGGCTACTAAGATGGTTAGGGAACTGGAGCATCTGTAATACGAGGAAAGGCTGAGAGCGATGGACCTCCTGAGACTGTAGGAGACTAAGGGTGAATCTTATCATAGAATCACAGAATCATAGAGTGCTTAAGGTTGGAAGGCACCTCTAGAGGTCATCTAGTCCGAGCCCCTGGCACACACAGGCACTAGAGCACGTGGCACAGGACTGCATCCAAGCGGGTTTTGAAGATCTCCAGAGAAGGAGACTCCACAACCTCAGTGTATAGGTGTCAAAAAGGATTAAACATGTAAAGAAGATGGGACCAGACTCCTCAGCAGTCCTCAGCGATAGGATGAGAGGCAATACGTCACAAACGGAAACACAGGAAGTTTGTTCTGAACATGAGGAAAATTATCTTTATTGTGAGCGTGGCAGAGCACTATAAAGATTACCTAGAGAAGTTGTGGAGTCTCCTTCCTTGGAGATATTCAGAAACTGTTTGGATGCGGTCCTGGGAAATGTGTCTGTGTGATCCTACTTGAGTGTGAACTCCATGGGGCCCTTCCAACCTCGATCATTCTATGACTGTGTGATAGATATATGTATGGATTTGGAACAAAATAATGACAGGCAAATTGAGTTTCTTCACTGAGTTATCTTGATTTGAAGTATAAAGAAAATCTTAAAGATATGCATTCCTATAATTCTTATGCAAACATTTGATATACAGACTTTTTCCAGAATGTCTGATCCAAACTCTACTACATCTGGTGTATGCCTTTCTGCTGGTCTTAGCTGGTAGCAAAAATTAGATGTGAGCCTGCTAAAACTCAGTAAGACAGAAATTGCTTTTACATTTGATTCAAATGTGGTTTCTAAAACCTTGAACTACCAGAATTTTCACTGCAACTTCATAGCTCACGCAATATGCTTTGCTAGTAAACATAAAGTAATCAGAATGTAAGTGGATTGTAGAAACTAGAATGGAAAATACTGTGTCAGCAGATCAGTGGCAGAATACACTGAGCCTGTTGCCTCAGTATGCCTAAACACATCGATGTCAGTCTGACACAACAATTTTAGGCAAAAAAATGCTTTTAAAGTGATATCTTTATCATAGAATCATAGAATCATAGAATGCTTAAGGTTGGAAGGGACCTCTAGAGATCATCTAGTCCAATCCCCCTGCATACGCAGGGACACCTAGAGCACGTGGCACAGGACTGCATCCAAGCGGGTTTTGAAGATCTCCAGAGAAGGAGACTCCACAACCTCTCTGGGCAGCCTGTTCCAGTGCTCTGTCACCCTCACTGTTAAGAAATTTTTCCTTAAGTTCCTATGGAATTTTTGATGTTTCAGTTTCTGGCCATTTCCTCTAGTCCTATCAGGGGCCACCACTGAAAAGAGACCATCCCCGTCCTCTGCACTCCCTCCCTTGAGGTACTCATAGACACTGATTAGATCCCACTCCGCCTTCTCTTCTCCAGGCTGAACAGGCCCAGCTCCCTCAGCCTCTCCTCATAGGGCAGATGTTCCAGGCCCCTGATCATCCTTGTGGCCCTGCGCTGGACTCTCTCCAGCAGCTCCACATCCCTCTTGCACTGTGGAGCCCAGAACTGGACACAATACTCCAGATGCGGCCTCACCAGGGCTGAGTAGAGGGTATGAGTAGAGTATGTTCAATAATGTATCAAAGGGACTTTCAGATTTTTGCTAAATTTTGTCAGGATTTGAAAGGTGGCTATATTTGTTAATGAGAATATTTTAAATGTGTCTTTGTTTAAAAAAATACAGTTAAATACTTTAAAAATTGGATTTAATTCACAATTTTAAATGAAGTACTTTTTTTTTCTTTGTCTTCTCTTTGTATGAAGTATAATTTGAATCTTTCTCTTCCCAAGATTCTTTCATTGGCAGAGCAAATTCAGTTCACTGAAGATGTAGAAAATGCTATCAAAGAGCATAATCTACAACAATTAGAACTGGAGCTCATGTCTAAACTGGAGCATTATACTAGCGTAGACACAAGTATAGAAGGTGCCAGGAGTACAGGTATAAAAATGATCTTTCGTATATTGTTCTTTGCAATGACTGTATGGTTGTGTAGTATGGAATATGTAACATTCCATTTATTTAAACAAGCAATTACATAAAGGTATTTAGGTAATATTATTTACACATTTAGTATAGTTGATATTTCAGAATGAATAATAGGTTTTTTTTTTTTTATTTAGATAGAATACTATCCTGGAGTATGCATATATTTGCAGATCACTTTTTTTGTAAGATTGTATGTTTACCATTGTATATATTTTATATATATATATATATAAATGTCCATATATATATGCACTTATGTATAGATAGTATGTATAATATATATTATGCATACATATGTATGTATATTTCTCTACATAAGTAAAATAGTTATATATGTATATATACACACTAGCAATTTGTCTTCATCCACTGAACTCTGCTCTAGTGTTATGTTGCATTGGAACTGGCCAGACAGCATTTGAAGTACATGATATCATGCCAGAATATTCTGTATAGCTGTGCAGGTGACCTTCTTCTTTTTCTGCACCTGTACGAGTCATTCTTGAGCACATCTGTAGCAAATACTAGAAACTCATTTCTTTTGAGATATGGTTTTTCTCATGAAGATTTTAAAATTCTAGAGTGTAGGCTACATGAGGAGATTCTATAAGTATAAAAAGATTCATTCTTGATGTGCAGGGGACAATTTTCCCATTATATTTGTATAACTGCTTACTCTACTAAATTCCAGTTTAGCATATATAGACTGTTAATATCTGATATATCAGGTAAGAATAGGATTCATCTCATTTACCTGTGTCTGCTTGTTAATTTTGTGCTTTATCTAAACTGATTTTTCTATGCTGTTCCTATTCAATGTTGAAGAAATGTCGCTCCATACAGAGGACTATTCGTTCCACCTAAAGCAGGATACAATTACAGTAACATTTTAGTTTGAGCGATCAGTTCAATTTTGAAGTGAATCTTCTGATTATCCCCACTCATCTTGCTTAAGTTAACATGATGAAATGGGAGCACACAAACTGGATTTCTTTCCAATGAAACTGAAAGAGGTGCTGTCAGAGTACGTGTAATGCAATCTATTGGTGAAAGATCATTCCGTCCACAGTATCAGCCTAGTTGGTGTGAAGTAAAATCTCCAGAATGAGTGTGATTGCCTGGTCGTCAACATCAACGACTTCACTTCACAGAGTGCCTCACAGATTACTGAAGTGGACATCGCTGTAAACACTGGTGCTGTGAAATTCTGGAAAAAAAACGCTTTTTGGAAAAGCCTGTTGTCTGTTATTCTACTTTGTTGAGCACAGGGGCAGACAAAATGACTTGGAATAGCTTACTCTGTCTTTTAAAAGACTAAAGATACCTGATGATTCAAACCCTCTGTCAGGTTCTCGTTTTATGCTGATTGTTTTGGATAATTAGTAATTGTTCTATAAATTATTGAAATGAGATCTGGATAAAATCAACTGATAATGGCAAGTAGCATAAAGAACTTGACAGTGGCTAATGTGCATTTTCCTTATTACATTTTTGTTTTTCTTTTGTGGTTATCTCCAGAATCGGAAATCCTGGATCTCAAGCTTAAAGCCCTGATTCTTGATATTATTCATAACATTGATGTGGTCAAGCAGCTAAATCAAGCTCAGGTTCACAGTGCTGATGACTGGGCTTGGAAGAAGCAGCTGAGATTCTACATGAAAGAACAGAAATGTTACATTCAAATGGTAGATGCTGAACTCCAATATACTTATGAGTATCAGGTCTGGTATTTTTAATTCTCACTTTGTAACTTTTAAATATATTTAAATAGTTTGATATTTAATGCTCACTGCTAGTTGCCTTCCCATCGTTCTTCCATTTTTCTTCTATTTTTCTTCTAATTTGGTATTTATTTGTGCTATTTCATAAAAATAGGTTAATCATTTTTGTTCTTGAGATTAATGGGGTAAATGTGACTTGTATGGAAAGCAGCTGCAGTATCATATAATTAAATACTTCATAAACAGTAGGGGAAGCTTGCTGCTTTTACATATTTGAGTGCAGTTTCAACAGAGATGTCCCCTTTAAAAGTCATTTTCCATAATTCTAAAAAATGCAGAGTGGTTTGACAATAGATATGCAGAAGCCAATATAAAATCAAGAAAACTTCATTATTGTAAACAAATTCATGTGCTTAAAAAGGCAATAAACTTAACAATTGCACTACCATGTATTTTCAGATTAATGAGTAATGAATGAAATTAATAAAACGATATCTTAATTAATTTCTGTGTACCGACCCATGCATTTTTTTGTTTTGTTTCTCCAGGGTAATTCCCCTAAACTTGTTTATACACCTTTGACAGATAAGTGTTACCTAACTCTTACTCAAGCTATGAGGATGGGTCTTGGAGGAAATCCCTATGGTCCAGCTGGAACTGGAAAGACAGAATCAGTAAAGGCCTTGGGTGGACTTCTTGGAAGACAAGTATTAGTCTTTAACTGTGATGAGGTGAATATAATGCTGTTTAATTTGGGAGATGAGCATACATGCACTGTATAATTTATAAAACAGTGGAAGTATGGGAAATACCATGGAACATACTTTGGTATTTTGAACATACATTTTGAACATACTTTGATAATTTATCAGTTTCAGTTTTTAGTAGTTACTTAGAAATTTGGGGATATTTCTGATGACAGATTTTTGCATAGCTAGGAAGACAATCATTACCTTATTGATGTTCGAATTTTGACTTTTTTTTGTTTTAAGGGCATTGATGTGAAGTCAATGGGGCGCATATTTGTAGGCCTGGTCAAGTGTGGTGCCTGGGGCTGTTTTGATGAATTCAATAGGCTTGAGGAAGCTGTACTGTCCGCAGTATCCATGCAGATTCAGACAATCCAGCATGCTTTGAAGAAACACAGTCCTGTATGTGAATTGCTTGGCAAAAAGGTACAGCAAAACATGTTTATTTTCTTCTTGTAGAACTGCTATATGAATAATGGATATCCACTAACTCAAAAACTGGATGCTGAAACTAAATATAATCTACCAAACATTTCTTGATACTGTTTTATGTTGCAGTATAGTGTTACAATGTCTTCTAATGCTAGGTTGAAATGGATCATAATTCTGGAATTTTTATCACTATGAATCCTGCTGGAAAAGGTTATGGAGGAAGACAAAAACTACCTGATAACCTCAAACAACTTTTTAGGCCAGTTGCCATGACCCATCCAGACAATGAACTCATTGCAGAAGTCATTTTGTATTCAGAAGGCTTTAAGGATGCTAAAAAGCTGGGCAGAAAATTAGTGGCTATTTTTAGTCTAGCCAGGTAAGCTTATTTTTAAAAGCCTGATTAGTTATATTTCTGCCTTTATAATTCTCTTTCCTCCTACTGTACCATTGCTCTGCATGGCTCCCTGGAATCTTGTTTTTTCTGCATCCAGTCTATAGGAAATCATGACTATACAGATGGAATCTCTGCATCATTTATGTTAATTTTCTGTAATATTTTAGTACTTAGATATTACAGAAAGCTTTGGGTCAGAAGCAAAAGTGGACATCAAAGTGTAGAGTTTTAGAGTTTTACATTTAACAGAGCTTCTTTAAGTCTGAATGGTGTACCATGCAAATCTCTGTATTTATTAATTTAAAATACTTACAAAATAGAAATATTATAATGTATTAGGAAGTACAGAATTTAAAAAGATGTGGAATGCAGTTACAATGTCAAGGTGGCAAAATACTGCTCTCCTACTTTCATTATTTCCTCCTTTTCTATTTGTAGTTATCTGTTAGTGTGAACATATGACTGTTTGCATGGTTAACTATTTTGTTGATTTTTGAAGTTGTTGAAATGTAATTTGGTTATGAGTATTCATGTTAGAGAAAACAAAATTATAAACTGCCAGAGATATTAATTAATGCTATTAGGGAAAATAATAAATACACTAGCCATTGAATATACTCCTGAATATTTCAACATATGATTGCTGATATGTCTGAAATTCTTTATGAATGTACTACATATACATACCTATTTTAGTTTTATCCAGCAACATACTGTGAACATATCCACTGGCCAAGTAAAACAAATTCTGAAACTATCACCTGAAGCTTATATCAACATTGTTTTTAAATTTAGGGAGCTTTTGACACCACAACAGCACTATGACTGGGGCTTACGAGCATTGAAGACTGCTCTGAGAGGCTGTGGCAGTCTCCTTCGTCAGCGGAAGAAGTGTGAAACAAAGGAAGAAAGTAAGGTTGACTGTGCCAAACTTTTGCTTATTTAGGATATTGTATGGAAATAGTCATCTACAGCTTGCTTCTTCACTGGAGTTTTGAGAATCTGTGTCTTGGATCTAGAAGCTATACAGAAAAGAGAAAAAAAATCTGTGAAAGTTCCTCTCTATCAAGAGATTATAAAAGACTCTTTTCATGTCTTTTATATGAGAAGATATGGGGATTTATTCTGCAGCAATTCTGAAATTCTGTAGTTTTCACCTGACTTTGGTCATACATGTCCAGTCTGTGATGGTAAGATGATCTTACCATTTTGATTATTTTTGAAGTCTATTATCACAAAAATAGGATCTAGATTAACTAGGTAGGTGGAAATTGGCCAATATAATGGCAGATAGAAATGATAGACATGTATTGGACTGGACTAGGGTGGTGTTTTTTCTAG